AACCATAACCTGGATGACTGAGAATCTCCATAGGCATTTAACACTTTAAAATTGGGCCTTACATCTTCAGATGTAATGTACAGAGAAAACAGTTGCCTTCTGTCTACCACATGAGGTCCCCAAAAGAATGCAATGCCAGTTACACTGAGCTGTCTGTATAAAATTAAACTGATACAGAGGAGCTACTGTTGCTGTTCTTCCAGTGTGAGAGAAAAGAGCAGCATGAAAGCAACATATAAAAATCTTCCTACTGAGTCTTACTTGTTCAGAAAGCAACCTAACATGCTCATCTGTATGATAAACCCACCTCTTTTTTCCTTTCTAATGCACACTGTATTTTAAGCAAGGGATATTTTGCCTCCTTCGAAAACAATCTTGTCACCAAGATTGAACATTCCTGGTTGTTTGACAATTGTTCCAGAAAATAAAATATGAAATATATGTAGCTATTTTTATTTTAAATGCAGGGACTGATATCCTGGGAATAATTTAACTGAACATGAAACATTCTTAAATGTACAGAATATTTTTATTTTTGAATCTGGAATTTATTCCAATAACCAAAGCCCAATTAATAAGCCCTGCTATTGATCTATACGGTTTTAGTTTGTTTATTTTCGATGAAATCATAATGTAGTTGGAATGGATGACTATTAAGTATGGCTATAATCAATACCAACCAAAAATGTCAAGTGCTCAACATAGCAAGCACATTCATCTTTTTTTAAAAAATATTGATAAATTTATAATTTTTCAGGTAAACAAAACCCAATTACCAATCCAGGGTGGGAACAAAAAAACATTTATTATACAGGGAATACATTACTTTGTTGCTTTGCTTCTCTGATCAATAAATTCCCATGCTCCACCTTTCCCTATTTTAATCAATAGATTTACAGCTTCCATCAAACACTATATAGTGAAATAGACAGGACAATTCTTTCTTCTAGTATGTTTATGGAGATTCTCAGTCATCCACGTCATGGTTGTCCCAAAGTGCTTTTGTATAAATCCTTCCATTCACCACCATCCAATCACAGCTGAAGAAGCTGCTTGGATGAGAAACAATACATCTTCAAAGTAAAACCAGAAAGTCCAGTTGCCTCTTGAAAAAACACCTTCTTTCTAGTATGTTTACTACAGAGGTGGTATTCAGCAGGTTCTGACCAGTTCTAGAGAACCGATAGTGGAAATTTTGAGTAGTTCGGAGAACTGGTAAATACCACCTCTGATCGGCCCCGCCCCCATTTATTCTCTGCCTCCCGAGTCCCAGCTGATCGGGAGGAAATGGGGATTTTGCAGTAACTTTCCCCGGAGTGGGGAAGGAATGGAGATTTTACAGTATCCTTCCCTTGTCATGCCCACCAAGCCATGCCCACTGAGCCATGCCATGCCCAACAAGCAACACCCACAGAACCAGTAATTAACCTTTTTTAATCACACCATTGGTTTACTAGCCCTACTATACACTATACAATGTTGATTGGATATTTTACTTGTCACTGCACCTCAACAACTACATGATCGAGCTGTGAAAGTATAGAGAGACAGAACCAAATTTATTAGGAAAAACTACTGTGTTTAAAGCCTTTCAACTTAAAATGAAGAGACACACTAAAGATACATACTCTCATTCATGGAGTAGACAATGTGAACAGACTAGTCACCTCTCCAGTCTTATAAAATAAACATTTGGACTCATCTACTAATCTAAAAATGAAGGGATTTAGAACCTACAGAAAAAAAATGAAATATGAACAGCACCACTTATGTAGCAGGTTGATCTGTTCAGTTGAATTTATAATATCTAATCATAAAATAAAATATTGTCTCTCACAGGGAACCATATTACTTTTAATGGCATGCAGATCCCTTTTGTTTAAAAACAGCAATAAAACCACAACAAAATGAAAGCAGTACACTCCACAAGGGATTATTTTTAGCTAGATGCACTGCAAAACATGTCCATTCATGACTTTCCTTATTTATAACATGACTGACCCATATATGTGCCTCTTAAATTATGCTCTTGAAGAGTATAATTTAGGGAAAAATATATAGATGCATAAACATTCCCAGAGCTTTGAGTTTTAACTTCTGTTATCTAGCCTTCATTAAGAACATTCTTAATGTGCATTTACAAAGGTATGGCTGAATGATTTAACTCCCAAACAACTGCATAGAATTGCATATTCAGAATTTTGTCTGTGGAAACTGAACTGTTATTCTGCCCCAAATGCTAAGTAATATTTCAAGAAGTTTTTAAAAAGTCAATATTATTCATGAACCATATCATTTATTCATTAGAATGCTTTTGTGTCTGCAGACTGCTCAATTTATATAGCACAGAGGTGGTTTTAAAAGATTGCATTCTTCCCAGGTGGTTTCTTAATTTCTAGGTTCCATTTTAGGCAACCTGTTCATGCCAATCTTCAAAAACAAAGTACATGTTGGAAAATAAATACCACAGACAAATTCCTTCAATTAACAACATGAAGACAATCATATTGTGGCAAGAGCTTTGAGAATAAGCCATAGTTTGAAGCTTACCTCAGCTACAATGATTTAATTCATAGCATTCTAGTCAAACAGTGGACCTTCCATATAAGAAGGAGTAAGTAAACCTACAGTATCTGTATTGATAGTTAAGCATCACTGATGGCTATGCTTTGATTTGATCTTTTATCACGTTATTGTGTGGCATAGAAAAATGGCTTAAGAGCAGTTTATTTCTTCCTATCCTAAGGCGATACTGCAAATTTTTTAAAGAGATTGTAAAATTCATGGCAAGTTGAGGTATAATTGGCTACTATCTTTAAAAGTTTATTGTCTTTGAATCATATCTATCAGTTGTACCAAATTAATATTATTCCTATTCTTTTATTGCAATTATTCCCATTAAAACTATTTACATCCTGTACTAATGATTGAAGTTTGTTTTCTTTATCTCCTCATTCTGACCATTAATAAATGGATAACAAAAACTATGACTTTATGAGCCATTGTTCCATTTCATAATTGGAATTTTTTAACTATAAATTGTGTGTATACACTGCATTTAATTATCATTTGTGTCTCCCTCCCTTTTTGTACTTGGTAAGTTTTGTTTTTCTTTTCTTTTTTTGTTTTATTAAAGCAATAATTACTTTAAAATCAGTCCATATAAGATACCAGAATTCAAAGATGATTAGTACTGACCTTTACATGTACATTAAACTTTATAACTTTTACTCTGTAAATGCTATGGACATCTCGATGAAAGAGCAAATTTGTATTGATCTGATTTATTTCTGAGCACCAACAATTTAAAAACAACTCATATTTTTAAAATATCAAGGACTGGGTGTTTTAGTCAGAAAGTTTAGAAATTTGTGTAAAGATTTTTATGAAGTCTATCATGGCCACATTGATTGAATTCAATGAATTCTAACAGTGTTTACTCTTTCTTGGATAATCAAAAAGGTTACTTTCCAGGCAAGGAAGAAGTTTTCCCAAAATTCAGTTGAACATAGCTTTATGCCTAACGGGGATTGAAGGCACATCCTCTTTTCGTTTGCATTGTTGTTAGTTTTTCTTCATTTTTATTACTTAAAAACAGTCAGAAGTAATTTACTTCTAATTTTCATTTCAACTGATAATCAAATGCAGCACATCTCAAATATGGTTGACTTACTTCTTCTTACTTCTTGGGAATATTTTATATATTATCGACATACTGTTGAACCTCTCTATAACTGCCCCAAGAGTTTGACAAAGCTGTTTTTTAGCATCAGTTCCTCCATTCCACACACCTCTTTATATTGACAAGAAACCTATTGATTTGATTTAGTATGTACTAAGCTGTTTTGTACTATGTTGCTCTAAGTAATGTGATTGCTGATACTGGAGCTAAAGCGATGCTGGAAAGGATATAAAGAGAGGTAATTGGAGATTATATGTCAAGATGAGGAATAGCAAAATAAACTCTATCCTATATTGGAGTTTAAGAGTTAGAATAGTATGGCTATCTGTCTTTCTCTTCCTCACTTGGGCGAAAGGAATTCTTCAAAAAAAACAAAAAACAACAACAACCCTGTGACGGTTTATTAGTTAAAAACAGTAGTTTTAAAAAGAGAAAGGTATGGTAGAAGGCATGAAGGCAACAGTCATAATAAATAAAGAATATATGCAACCCATGTTTGAATTGTTGGGTTCTTGGTGTTCTCTGAACTCAGTGGTTTTCTTGCAGATGTTTCCTTATTGCAGATCTTTTAAGAGAACTGACAATATTACCCAATCTGGTAATGAATGATGTGCAGGAAATCTACCAAGCTCAGAGAATACAAAGCATCCCCTGATACTTTCCCCATTAACTATCATGTTTCATGTACTAGATGACTTTTACTTATTTTAAAACATATATATGTATGGAATAAGTCTTTCCAAGGAAAGCTTTGTAGGCATTACGCTTTGGTACAAGAAGTTTGAATCAGCCTAAAAAAAAACCCCAACCACATGAAATACCTGCTGCAAATATTTTCTGAGAATATCATTAATAGAACAGAATGAGTTATTTGTTGGATTGATTGCATATACTTTAAAATACCTGTACTCAGCTTTTAGGCTACAAATGGTTTTGAAGCAGTTACAATTTAAGTCTAATTAAAAGAAAAATATGAGGGGCCAGCTTGGTGTTATTACATTTAAGGAACCTGGCTAGAAACCGGAAAATAATAAGATTTAATTCCACCTTAATCAGACAACTACCTGGATGATCTTGGGCCAGTCACTCTTTCTCACCCCTGAGGAGGAAAGGGAAAACCACTTCTGAAAATCTTGCCAAGAAAACCACACACGCTTGTCCATATATTCGTTAGAGTCAAAACTGACTCAAAAGCACATAGAGAGAATACAAATATATGTTACTACTTGTACACTGTCAAGGTAAGAAGACAAAAGAAGTGGCAGATTTATGTACATTCGAATATGGGCAGAAAGAAAGCTAGATGTAACTACAAAACTATATCATGAGAAGTGCTTTTATTATAATAGAGTAGAACTCTTAATATATCTGTTCATGTACATACACAACACCACAGTAAGGAAAACTACCAAAATAACTTCTGCGCTACCTATTTAATCTGCTGACGTGATAATTAGTGATATCTAGCCTTCTTTAAAATGGGGCATGGATAAACTGTCCTTCAGATATAGAGGAGTGTCCTCTGTAAAATGGGATATTGTATGTAGGTCTCCTACTGCTGGAAATGCTGGGAGTTACAAATAAGATTGAGAATGGCAAAACTATGATTGTGCTGAGGATCCAATGATCTTAAGAATATGCATGAATGGCTGTCTTGTCTCTGTGTGTATTTGGCTGGCATCCAACACATTCTTATATGGAATTGCTCTTTTTTTATTTCAGAACAACTTCCTGTCACTGAAGTGCTAATAGACCACTCATCTATTTGAAAAATGTCGCAGCTTAGTTGCAGTCATTCATATTGATCAGTGACATAATCTTTAGTGTCTTATTCAGAGGTTTTCTATTAGCAAGCAATTAGAGTTGTGTTCCCTTGCACAGTTGTCTATGCTAGATGCTGTTAACCACAGTAAGATCCATTAAACAAATAGGATTTGTACCTGTAAATCTTATTTTATATTACTTATTACTTGCATTATCTAGGAGACTGTCTATTACAAGTGGCATCTACCATCCTTTGTATGCAAGCTCAGATAATATGTAGAAGACTTTCCAAATCACATATGGTTGAGTTTGAGGCTCTGGTGGGGGGGAAAAAGCACTTGTAACTGTCACGCCAGCCTTATGGAGCTCCTGCCCTAGAGTCATGTTGGGCCCTTCACTGCTAATCTTAAGGAAGGCAGTTAAGAAGATGCTTTTTCATTACTCCTTTGAAGCACCGGAAGCAATGTATTAAGGAAGACAATAGTACCCATCTTTGTGTTGAGCGATGGATGTAAAAGCTGGCATATAGATTTGCATGTTGGAGAAGGTTAGTGATCTCGCCAAGTAGAACCCAAACAAAAGAGTGATTATCGTCAGAGTATTTGGCAGTAGTTGGTTTCTTGGCTGAGTTTGGAAGACAGGGCTGGGAGCATTTCAGGGCTGGTCTCAGGGTCAAGCTTCTTTTGAATCCGTGTGAAGCTCATTGTGTGTGTGAGAACAGCTTTCCTTTCATTCACTTGTTACAAATTTGGAGGAATTTTCAGTACACACTGTGCTGTACTGAGAGAGAGAAAAACCCTGTACCACATTATGCTCAGCCCAACATGCTCAGTGAAGATGCATTTTCATTTAAGTAGTCATTTACCATGTTAATGCTGCATGTTTTCCAGTTATTTTTCTCCCTTCTTTTCTTCTTTCTTACTTCTTAATTTTAAATGCTAATGCAATATACAATTTTCTTTTCATTCCTAGGTCAAGTTGCAAAGCAAAGAATGAATGAGATGCAGATATCCAGACTCTTATGTCACTAGTTTTGCTGACAGTGAGAATTATTGTAGAGAGAAGTGGGTGGATGAAGCACTATAGATGGTTTTGCGATTCGCATCTTAATTGGGCTTTGAGGGAATTGGTTTTGACTCAAATTCTAGCAGTGGATCCCCATCAGTATTTTCAGGAATTTTTCATCCAAGGGGAATGATGCATGTCAGAACTCCTCAACAGGATTTGGAAATTTTAGAGCAATTACACCATCAACTAATTCAAAAGGAAGAAACAAAAGTAGAGCCAGCTTTGTCTAGAGGCCACAGGTTAGAAACCAGGAGACTGTGAGTTCTAGTCCCACTGTAGACATGAAAACCAGCTGAGTGACTGTGGACCAATCAGTCTGTCTCAGCCCAGCTCATCTCACAGAGTTGGTGCTGTGGGGAAAATAGGAGGAAGAAGGAATATTAGATATGTTTGCTGCCTTGAGTTGTTTATAAGATAACAAAGATGGGATTTTAAAAAAAAACCTAAAATAAATACCACAATCAGGTTTCTAACCCTCTCCTCTAACAGAACCAAAAGTGTATTGTCTACTAATCCACTTTTTCACCCTACCACCTCTATAACTCATCCTCCTGCATGAGAAGCCAACAGTCCTGCTTCCCAGAGCCTAACCCATCCTTGATATTCTAGATTATCCTAGATTGATGAATACATCAACCACTTGTGTTTAATAATTCCACATTTGCACCTTTAATTGGGATTAAAAAGAAAGGAAAACCCACACACACCATTAAAATTTCACAAGCCTCAGTTTCTCAATTTCCTTAACTGAATAAATTCCAAAGCTCCATATACTGTAACTCTCTAAAATAGCTGGTTGGGCTTTGAAGTCCATAGTTCTTCTCCTCTGTATCTTTCTTTCTTTCTTTCTTCCTTCCTTCCTTCCTTCCTTCCTTCCTTTCTTCCTTTCTTCCTGCCTGCCTGCCTTCATCTCTTTCTTTCTAGCTTTCTTTCTTTCTAGCTTTCTTTCTTGCTTTTTAGCTTTCTTTCTTAATCTCTCTCTTTTTTATCTTTTCCTTTCCTTTCTCTTTTCTTTTCTCTTTTCATGTATTTAATCATGTTTTAATGTTTATGTTTATTTCATTTGTATGCCGCCCTTTTCCCCCTGAAGGGGGACTCAGGGCGGCTCACAACTCATCCATTCATCATATTCCTGCACTGCCCATCTTGCCTAAATGACTCTTAAATGAAGAACTAATTAAAGAACTGCTTCCCTAATGGGGAGAATGATGTCATAAATTAGAAAATAGTAGAACTCTACTTGTATCACAAAGGTTACATTGCACCAAAAAGACCTTGTATCAATTAGCTGATTTATTGCCATTGAAGATCTATAGTAATAAGACCTGATAGTCATATGTCATTTTCCCATCATAGGCACCTATTCATCTTCTTTGCATACATTTCTGTCCCCTTACTTTAATAATACTGCTAAAAAGTCAATCCAGATATTTTATGAATGTTTCCACACCTGAAATTCAAGCTGAGTTCCTTATATCAGCCTATGTTAAAATAAATTGAGTAGAATAAAAATTATTCTCTCAGCTGTGCAAGTATATAAAAGAAAGTGGCATTGGTGATGGTAGAGGAGGAAGCTTCCCATCTGTTCTTCTTGGAGAGTATGTCAAGATAAGCAATGTGTTGTAATTGTTTATAATACACCCAAAATCATATTGGTACATGCAGTGGATATAATGACCTAAGACACATGCTGTATACCAACTTTCAAGAAACATTTTGTCTCTCAACTACTAACTAAAAGGTATAAAAGGAAAAATCATTGATAAGATGTGAAGAAAAATTTGCCACTTGAAGAGGCCTTCTAAGTCCAGACCAAGAAGCTGGTAACCTAGTTTACTCTTTCTTTTTCCATATTAAAAATATTATGTGAAAATTTCAATTAACCAAAGTAGTTTCAGTTCATCTTTTTTTTCCTTCTTCACCCCAACTTCTTATTTCAAAACCTTGTGAGTATTTTCTCACATAAGAATTTAAAAATTGCAAGAAAGCAAGCATTTTTATCAACTTAGTTACAGACATCATCTTCCTGCATACTTTATTGAGGACAAAAAATAGTGGTCAAACCATAATGGTAACAGGGAGGAAAAAAAAACTTGCCCTTTACTACAGATAGTTATCTCTAACGTGCTTCTTTCTCTGAGAATTGCACAATGCAACTTGCTTCTATTCTTGCACAGTTTGTGCTTCTTACTGCTTCTTCTCCTTTCTTCCAATACTATTTTTAATGTACCTTATCAGCCTTATAGCAGCTTTGAGCAAAAAATTCTTTCCAGAAGGCTGTCTGTTTTCTAACGTCTTTCATATGTATATGAATCAGGATTTGGTGATATTCAGCAATAAGAATAAATGGAATGATTCAGCATTGATCAGGTAAGCATGTCTGATTTCCTATGATTATTCAATGTATTTATAGATAAATACAGTCATCCATGACATACAACCAAAATTGAGCCCAATATTTCTGTTAAGTGAGTTTTGCCATTTTATGGCCTTTCCTGCCACAGTTGTTAAGTAAATCACTGAAGTTGCTAAGTTAGTAACACAGTTAAGTGAATCTGACCTCCCCATTGACTTTGCTTGCTAGAAGGTCCCAAAAGATAATCACATGAACCTGGGACACTACAACCATCACAATGAATCAGTTGCCAAGTGTCTGAATTTTAATCACAAGCCCATGGGGGTGCTGCAATAATCATAAGTGTGAAAAGATGGGTTGGGGAAATAATTTAATGGCCATCCCTATTCACAATCCTTGAAGCACTAAAACAAACAATTGTTAGCTTCTGTTCAGTAGTGTCCTATTTTCCTTTTCCATGTCCTATTTGAGATGCAAAAGGAAAAGGTTAAAATTTGCCTCTTTTTGTTTGTTTGTTTGTTTGTTTGGAACTTCTAATGACCAGTTCACATACACCCCATGCTTTTTTGCATTTTTAAATTAGGCACGATGTATTTAATATGATGTGTACTTTTAATCCAGTAGTTTTCAAATAAAAGTGAAAAAATATAATTACAGATTCACATTATTGGCAGTTTGTGAATGTTTTCATTTCATTCGTCTGATCCGGTAGCCTATAAAAGGAAAAATATGTCTTTCAGTTTGGATCTGGTTAAAAAAAATGAATCAATCTTATTTGAACTGACATAACAAGAAAACACAGTCAGATTAATAGTTAAAGAGTCATTTCTAAATCTGAACTAACATTTTACTCATAAAATGTTAAACTGTTCTGAAATTTGGAATCATATAATAGTGTATGTATGTATGTATGTATGTATGTATGTATGTATGTATGTATGTATGTGTATATATATATGCATGCATACATACATACATACACATACACATACACATACACACACACACACACACAGAGTATATTGTCCTATTTTTGATAGTGATAAGCAAACTGACAAACATTAATAATTTAATTGAATGACATAACATACATATATTTTCATATATGAAAATATCTGAAACAATTGTTAGGATATGTGATTTAGAGATTTTCTTGTTCCTTCTTTTGCCGTTTGCATGAAAAATAATTAAATATATATATTAAGAGCTTTAGTCAAGGATGCAAATTATTTCTTTTCTAAACTCAGGACTCCATATGAGGTTCTGAGCCTTACTTTCTTTTGCCATATTTTTGTTCCCCAAATATCACAATAGGCCCAAATCAACTCTCAAAATTTTTAAAATTCTGAAAATAGCATAAAAGTCCATCTGTTCCCATTCATCTGACTAAAACTAAATAACATCTGTTCCAGTGTTGAAAATGGCACAATATGAGTGAAAATAATAAACATATATAGATCCCTACCTCTATATCCCTGATGTAGCATCTTCTGAAGCAAGAGAAGTCCATTCTAAAGATCTTTCCTGTTACCAGATTCCTGGGGAGAAATGATCAACCTGTCACTTTTGTGCCAATGTGGTCCTCAAATTAAAGTTGCCTTCAGCTTCCCTTACAAGCAAGATATTTACACTTGACAAATCCATACGTCCCTTTTCTAACAGCTGGCTAGAAAAAGAGAAAAGTAGACAAGGTGTCATCAAAAGAAAAAAGAAAATTCCCAAGAAAGGACATTCAGAGAGAGACTGAGCCTTCCTGGCATTCCTGGAAATAGCCCAGTGGTGGCATTCACTTTTTGTTACTACCGGTTCTGTGGGCATGGCTTGATGGGCATCGCTTGGTGGACGTGGCAGGGGAAGGATACTGTAAAATCTTCATTTCATCCAGATCAGCTGGGACTCGGGAAGCAGAGAATAGATAGGGATGGGGCCAGTCCAGAACTGGTCAGAACCTGCTGAATACCACCTCTGCGATAGCCACATTTACATCGTGTTTCAGCTCCACATACCATTAGAAGGCATTCATTCCTCAGATTTCCTGCAAGGAAATTATATCTCAACAAGAAACATTTTGCCTACCATTGTGGTAAACTTTATTATCTGGTTCTCCCTTGTGATATCTCTGAGTGCTATTGTGTTTATTTATTTCCTAAAAATATCTGTGGATTGTCTTTTATACAGACATTATAGCTGGGTGGACCAAAATATTCAACCTAGTAGTTGACATAACCTATTTTTCCAGGTTTGTGCAACAAATTGCAATATAAACTAAGAGACAAGCTTAACCCAAATCAAAATTCTAACCAATATTAAAACTAAACAAGTTCAGAATGGTGTATAAATGCAGCTGCTGGGTTTTTTAAATAATTTGGCTAAGAGAGTACGGTGCAAATCCATTCTCTGTGTAATAATAACAATGAAAGACAACTTTTAATGCACTCTGTGTTAAACAAGGTCTTTAAATTTAAAAATTGTAGTTCTCAAATAGGAATTTTGCAGTGCTTTGGAAGGTATCCATCAGTTTACAGACTCTAGATATGCTTTTTTCCTCCAGCATTCATTTCCCCCCTCTTTTTGCTGCTACGTAGTAATAAGAATGTGGGCTCTCACTTAAGGACAAACACATTATAAATAGCTCCTACTGGTTACATAAACAACAGAAAATAATGCAATTTTGTTTTCAACATTTACTGAAAAGTATGTCATAATCTCAGCATTTCTGAGTGCCATGAACAATAGTTTAGAATGAAGAGCGGGCCTGGTGAAACTTCCCACAGAGTGAAATATTCCTCCAATGTTATTATATAACTCTAATTTCCAGCTATTATCCTCTTGAATCTGGGTTTGTCATCTCTGACCTCTGAAAGGCAAGCAAAGGATTTCTTTTAGAGTGCAGGATGGTTACAAAGCAGCTCACATCACCACTAAATCACTTCTAAGGTAATGTTGACTGAACAGGCAGTCTCCTTTTATTGCTTTTGGCAACACTTCATTTAGTTTCTTATGGGATTAGGATCTTATCTTGTTTTACCTTCAATCCTAACACATCCCAAGGGCTTGCAAGGGGGAACAAAAGTTTAAGAATTGGCCTTATATCCCGCTGGAAGGATTGCCAATAAGACTTTGACTAAGTCCCTGTGGGAGGTTAAAATTGTAGCCAAAGACATTAGCTTGATCCAGCAGGTTTTCACTGGTATTCATCAGTAAGAAATTTGTCTAATTTAAATGACACATTTTGACTAGGATTGTTGGTTGTTTCACAAATGCTTCAAATGCTTCCCGATCCACAGAAGCATGAAAATATCTGCTGTTCATTAAAGTAATCAATGTTTTTCAATCTATCAGCCTGAAGCCTGAATCTAGAAGCCTGAAAAAATGATGTCCTTGCTTTAAGAGTTGTACTGACTATAATGAGCGATTTCCTACAGAAATAGCATTTGTTTCTGCCTTGAGTGGAAGTCAGTTCTTTAATGACTAGCAGAGAGCTGTAGACCTAGCTTGCGTGAGCTCGGAAGCACTTTTTGTTATCAGACTTGTTCAGCCATAGAATTTACTGACATGGATAGATTTCTTCATAAGTAGACTAGTCATTATTTTTTTAAAAAGCCTGAATTTTTTTTAAAAAAAAAATGAATATGGGAGTATTTTCTTAATCCGTATTTTAAAACCCATCCAATTGTCTATACCACGAGTGCAGTGGTGAAATTCTTTTTTTTTTACTGCGGGTTCTGTGGGCGTGGCATGGCTTGGTAGGCATGGCTTAGTGGCTGCGGCAGAGGAAGGAAACTGCAAAATCTCCATTCCCAGAGGTGGCATTTGCTGGTAATTCGAACTACTCAAAATTTTCTCTACTGTTCCTTCAGAACCTGTCAGAACCTGCTGGATTTCACTCATGCCTGAGTGTCAAATTGCAGTATCATGTTGTGACATTTTCCCCCTTCACAGAGCTGGGGTGGGCATGGCCTGTGTGTGACACATGCAGCCCATGGGCCGCCAGTTTGACACCCCTGGTCTATACCTTTAGCTAGAGCTTGTTTCACTACTGCAAATAAACATTAGGACAGCTTGGAGTTTCAGAAGTGTTTTAATTTTAACCAGCTTTGAGTGGATGTTTATTATATGTTTATTATACTTGTATGCCGCCCTATTCCCAAGGGACTCAGGGCGGCTAACAAACAAGTGGGGAGGGGGGAAATACAAAAAAAAAAAAAACAAGACAGAAACAAGATACACGAAACAGATTAAAAACAGCACAACAGTCACAGCAATTCAAGTGGGGCTGGGAACTCATCAGCCCCAGGCCTGCCGGAATAGCCAGGTCTTCACAGCTTTGCAGAAAGCCAGAAGGGTGGTGAGGGTCCGAATCTCCACGGGGAGAGTGAAGCAAAGCTTAAAAGCAGAGTGACTCCATTTTCAGCCAACAGAATCAGATGATCATAATATGTTGCTGGAGTGCCCATAAAAATTTNCATTATGTGGTTGTGTCTTTAAGTCTTTAAGGTAAAAGCATGTTCAAATAATTGTAGTCAAATGAGAATTGTGGTACATTGATAGTAAGATATACAAAGATTTTTGACTTAAAGTGTATAATCTAATATGAATTATAAGTAATGACTGTGGAAGAGATGCACGAAAGGTATCTAACCAATCGACACACTTTCTACAAGATGTAATTAAGGATGATTCTTTTTTTGTGTTTTTGTTCAATTAAAAAAAAAAGATAATGGTGGAAAATAAAAATGAATTATGCAGAAAACCCCTTAGCATATTGTGCTCTCCTACTGACCATTATGGCTCAAGATTGGCATGGTAAAATTTGAGAGAGTACAAAGAAAGGCAAATAAAATGATCAGGAGCCCTGGATCCATACTCTGGTGAGGAGGTTGACAATATTTGGATTTTTTCAGCTTAGAAAGAAAAACCTAGTGACAGTATCAGCTATCCTCAACAAATCACAAAAAGCTAAACAGATTCAGACCAACACCTTCCCCCAGAGCGGTAGACAACACTGGGAACATGAGGGGAAAAAAGAACCTTGAGTCATCCAGTAGAACAAATGGTGACTAATTCAGAATCTTCGTGGCAAATAAATTATGTTCAGTTCCATGAAGATTTTGGCTTTATGTACAACTTAGAAGCTTTTTGTATAGATCTGCATAACCGCAGGGGAAACTTACTACCAGAAGTTATTAATAAAGGAAGCCTGAGAAAAGCACAGGACTTTAACAATACAATTGCTATCACAATCTCTGAAAAGAATTTGGTTTTACCGTTTTCATCTGCCACAGGATATTCAAAAATAAATGTCATTAATCTATTAGTTATATTTTCATTCTACAATTTTTCTTCTATACAAATCTGTTTACGATACCAAAAATGAATTAAACATTAACAATAGCCTAATCTAAAATATTAGCCCATGAACTCTAAAGGAAACAAAGTTACAATTTTCCAATTAGGATTATCCCAAAATGCACATTTGGCATGAGAATCAAAATGATACCTCCACCCCAAAATCTCTGGATATGTCTTACAGCTTTTAATACTGGAAATATAACTGGAATTTTGATTTAAAAATTAACCAAGTTCTTGATTTGAGATCAAGGATTTAGGAACTTTTTAGTTGTGTCCATAATTTTTAAAAAATCATTTGGATGTCATTAGATAACTAAGTCATCACATATGCTTAATGGTAAAATAAAAACAGGGAAAATCCAAAACGTCATAATATGAAAGTTGTCATTTGATTTTTTTTAATGGATTTTATTTTCCCCATAAAGTTTCTCAAACCCTTGTTAATTTGTTTAAAATAACCTAAATGCATATCAATCTTAAAGCAGTATTTTATAACATTTTACATTTCTTCATAAACTGATTCTGCCATTAGCCACTGATCTGATATATGTACACTGAGAATTGAAGGAAGATATTTAAATGAGTTGAAACTCCATGCAAACTCCCAGCTTTTACAAATCCCATGGATATTGCAATCTATATAACATAATCATTTATCAATATATAAAAATAATTAGCATTCTGAAATTTTTATTTTTGGATAAAGACTTCAGTTACCTGTTAAGGCAAGCCAATAATTCCAATACCAAATCTTATATTATAGGAGATTAAAATTCCCTGTGCCAATTAAATGGATAACAAAATAATCCCATCTGTAATAAATCATGCCAAAGGATTCCTAATCTAATTTGTGAAATAAGCAAATCCATATTTAACCAAAGCTTGCTTAAATTTCCTGCATTCCATGTAGAATCCACCTTTACCAATTCCACTTTTTCTGACGGTATGCCTAATAGTATGAATTAAGAACGTAATGTTACTTAGAGATTGTTGACCTTTTATACAATCAGACGGTGAAGGAGCGACAATCCAAAGTAACATTGAATTTACACCAGAGTTTTCATTAAAATGTTGGCATCAACATTTCAAAAGGAAGTCAATCAATAGCTTGAAAAGTCTATGATAACTTTCAAACTCATATCGGCCTCCTTGAAAGAAGTCAGGAAGCTTTATTCAAAATGGTGTC